ATTATACTAATATTTCAAGGTGATATCTTYTCTACCACCAAGTTTCTTTCATGTCTTCTGGTATTGAGAAGTTAATATCTAATTTCTTCTGGGCAAAACTCAGGAGTAATTCTCTCCAGGTAATTGGGTATTTAGATCTCCCCACAGTGCTTTGAGTACTGTATATCCCAGAGATTTACTACAGCTTTTAGTGTCTGTATCAAAGCCCCCTGTGTCCACTCTTKAGTCCTGTAAAGTTTATGGACTTAGAATCAGAATCACAGAATATGGTGGGTTGGAAGGGACCCATCATGACCATCAAGTCCAACTCCTGACCCTGCACAGGACACCCCAAGAGTCACACCAAGTGTCTGAGAGTATTTGTCCCAGTGGTTCTCAGTCTCTGTCAGGCTTATGCTGTGACCACTTCGCTGGGGAGCCTGTTCCAGTGCCAGCCACAGTCTGGGTGAAGAACATTTTCCTGATGTCCAACATAAACCTTCTCYGACACAACTCCAGGCACAACTCCTTGGATCCTGTCTCTGTTCACCACAGAGCAGAGATCGGTTCCTGCCCCTCCTCTTCCCCTCACAGGAAGTTGTAACTGCAGCAAGGTCTSCTCTCAGTCTCCTCCAGGTTGAACAGACCAAGTGACCTCAGCCACTCCTCATACAGTTTCCATAATGATAGATTTAAAAGGGCAAAAAATTCTCAGTTGGTGAGAGAAAAGAAACTTACTCAAGCACAGGTAAAAACTCTGTACTTGAGTGAATTTGCTGTGTATGTACTTAGTTACAAACTTGTAGAAACCAGCTACATCAAATATTACTAACGCTTTCCATCCCCTCCCGCCCCCTTTCATTAAACTACAGGAACCCTTGGCACTAGCAAGTGGAGCTTTGCCAGACTGGTGTGAGCAGCTAACAAGCAAGTGTCCTTTCTTAATTCCATTTGAAACAAGACAGCTGTACTTCACATGTACAGCATTTGGTGCATCAAGGTAAAAAAAAATTATAAAAGTATGATTGATTCCTTTTAATAAATGTGTATATATATATATAAAATAAGTTTTGAAATTGCTGATTGACAGAAGGACCTTAATCCTAATAAGACAAATTTTGCTTGCCAAATRTGAATAATTTTGGATAATAGGAGGAAGAAGATGGAAAAACTCAGAATGACAAGAAATTTCATTTTTTAACTTTAGCTGATGAATTGCTTGTGTACTTATAGCTAGGTTATGCTATTTGCCAATTTGACTGGGTTGCACTTCTTTGCATAAAGGACTGAGAAACAAAATAGAAAACATTTGGAGAATCATGTGAATTAAATTTTATTACATACACCTAATCACATACATTTTCATTGTTCCTGCAGCTGTTTTGTGATTATTTTCGTTCATTTATTTTTAATTCACTAATGTTTTAACAAAACAGAAARAACCCTAAGAAAAACGTGACATTTTGGAAGTTACTATTAGTGGCATAATGAAACTAACAAAATCAGACTTTAAAACATGTAAGGATGTCCTCTAGAGTTCTTTGTTACCTAGGAATCCTTAATATTKTGATTGCAGCAGTCATTATTTTGAGAGTACGTAGACAGTATAAACCTTTTTGCTGGTGTAYTTTTTGTAAAGAGAAGGAAGAATTGGGACCGAAGGGTAGAGAGTTGCTGAAATTACTGTTTTGTCTTAGATGCAGTAGAAATGTCTCATGAAGARTATAAAATGAGGTATTTAAAATGAAAGAAAAAGGAAGAGAAGAAAATATATTATCTTGCAAGACATCAGTTTAAATCTTTTTATAGTGTAACTGCCTTACAGTGTATAATAAAAGGTGTAATGTGTCTATAAACAGTTTTGAGCATCTGTGATTAAAAGTTCAACAGTAAACGCTGCTTTTTGATCTTTCCACAGTAATGTGAAAACTATAGGAAGTCAGATCAAGATTTGTTTATTTTTATTGGTGCTATCATCAGAAACTGACACTTATGTTAGAATTTTTTTGGTTTTCTGACTTCATAAAATATGAAGCAGCCAATATTTTGGAACRTTTTAGGCTGATAAATACTTTGGTTCATGCCTAAAAAAAATGAGGAGGTAATTAGTACTTAACAAGTAACTTTTTTATGGTGACTACTTTCAAGTTTTCATGCTGGTAGACATGGAAGTTTTAAACAACTACTTTTTGTCTTTTTCCAGAGCAATTGTATGGCTGCAGAACAGACGTGAAGCCACCGTTGAACGGACAAGGACCACAAGCACAGTGCGACGTGATGATCCGGGAGAATTCAGAGTTGGACGCCTCAAACATGAGAGAGTGAAAGTTCCGCGAGGTGAATCCTTGATGGAATGGGCAGAAAATGTCATGCAGATTCATGCAGACAGAAAATCTGTTCTAGAGGTAAAGCATATCTACCTAGCAGAGCAAGGTTAGATAGTTATTTGTAATGTACTGGACAGGATATTGAATATCCTGTTCCATAACCAACACTGAACATTTCACTGGGATTTTCTTCTACTATTAACATTTCTTATGTTTTTCTAGGTTGAGTTTTTAGGGGAGGAAGGAACAGGCCTGGGTCCTACCTTGGAATTTTATGCATTGGTGGCAGCAGAATTTCAGAGGACAGATTTGGGAGCTTGGCTTTGTGATGATGATTTTCCAGATGATGAGTCTCGTCAGGTATATTTTAAACTTGCATTTTAAACTGAGTATTTGCTTAAAAAAAATGAGAAATGAGCTAGACATCCAGGAAGGAAGATTGAGCAGCTCATCATTATGGTCAAGAATGACCACTCTGGTCCACAGTTTGATTTTTTTAATTGTTCTCTTTTTAACAGAGAAGTAGAGTATAATAAGTTAGATGGTGCAGATAGATAATTAAATTCACCTTTAACTGTGTCTGCTTTTTTTGTGTCTCTCGTAAATCAGGTTGATATTGGTGGTGGATTGAAACCGCCTGGCTACTATGTACAGAGATCATGTGGACTGTTTACAGCACCATTCCCACAAGATAGTGATGAACTTGAAAGAATAACCAAACTCTTTCATTTCCTTGGAATTTTCTTGGCTAAATGCATTCAGGACAATAGACTTGTGGATTTACCCATTTCTAAGCCTTTTTTTAAACTCATGTGTATGGGGGACATTAAAAGTAACATGAGTAAGTTGATATATGAATCACGGGGTGACAGAGACTTGCACTGCACTGAAAGTCAGTCAGAGGCTTCTACAGAAGAAGGGCATGATTCCTTGTCAGTAGGAAGTCTGGAAGAAGACTCCAAATCAGAATTTATTCTTGATCCACCAAAACCTAAGCCTCCTGCCTGGTTTAATGGAATTTTGACGTGGGAAGACTTTGAATTAGTAAACCCACATAGAGCTAGGTTTCTAAAAGAAATTAAGGACCTTGCAATTAAAAGACGTCAAATTTTGAGCAGCAAAAATCTGTCAGAAGATGAAAAGAACACAAAACTGCAGGAATTAATGCTGAAGAATCCATCAGGTTCGGGGCCTCCTCTTAGCATAGAGGATTTGGGGTAAGAGTTTTCATATTTATTTCTAGATAGGCAAACAGTGTTATGTTAGAGACAAAAGTCAACATGTAATTAAAAATTAAGTTTTCTTAGTTTTAAAGAGCATCATTACAAGGGGGAATCAATAGTGATGCAGCCATATTCTTTTTCCTTGGTTGGAGGACTTTCTTTTCTTACTTGCTCAGTTTGCTAATCTTAAATGTGACTACACTGCAGTGATCTGGAAACTTGTAAACACAAATATTTGTAAAATCACACCTTTAAGAAAAGGATGATTCAATAATTTCTTTGCTGTGATAACCTGAAATGATTATCTTTGAGAGCTTTTAAAGAGGACAGATTTACATTTCAGATTGTGTTCCTAGTGCAGTGTTTAAATCCATGTTAAACAGATCACGTGTTAACTTTTCGCAAATGTTATCCATGCCAGGATGTCATCCTCTCTAGTTTTAAGTCTTTCCTTTGAAACAGTAGTTTTTTCTACCATTGATCTTATGGGTTATTTGTTATAATTGTATTGTGCCACAAAACTTGTGTAGTGTCAGAGTTTAGTAATTGCTTATGGCCTTGGAATCATAGACTGTCCTGAGCTGGAAGGAACCCCCAAGGATCAGTCTGCACAGATCTGCAAGAGTTCCTGACACTGTTCCTGACAGCGTTGTCCAAACACTTACTGAACTCTATCAGGCTGGTCTGTGACCACTTCCCTGGGGAGCCTGTTCCAGTGCCCAGCCACCCTCTGGGTGCAGAACCTTTTTCTAATATCCAACCTAAATCTCACTGACACAGTTTCAACCCATTCCCTCGGGTCCTGTCCCTGGTCACCGCAGAGCAGAGATCAGTGCCTGCTCCTCCTCTTCCCCTCATGAGGAAGTTGTGACTGCAACGAGGTCTTCCCTCAGTTTCCTTCACGCTGAACAGACCAAGTGACTCAGCCATTTGTATGGCTTCTTCTTTAGACCCTTCCCCATCTTTGTAGCTCTCCTATCAATGATCTTTATATGTAATAGCCTTCTGTCCTTAAAGGGCTTGTGGGTTTAGCCTGGCTTGTTATGGAGAGAAAGCAAGTAGCACTGTTGAAGGACTTAAATGCGTAATAGGTAATGGAGCTCCATAATTGTTTTTGCTGGGAATTTTTTTTAAATTTGTGAACTGAATTAAATGGTTTGAGTAGTTTTGAAGCTTACAGTTTAAAGATATCAAAATGTATGGAATTTTCAATGATTATCAAATCCAAATAAGTAGAGGGTGCCTATATGCATTTGCATTCCATATATTTGAAACACATATCTGTGTAGTCCACTACTACTTTTAGTTCTGTACTTTTACATAAGCATGAACATTGGTACAAAGTGATCCATTAACAATGGTTTGCAATCTATTGGGTGTGACAGGTGCAGGTTGTAAATTTGGTGTATTTACAAAAGCAGTAGTAAACTTGTTTGCTSTTATTAACTGTCTTTGTATTTTGAAGTTTAAATTTTCAGTTTTGCCCTTCATCCAAAGTATATGGGTTTACAGCTGTGGATCTTAAACCAGGCGGTGAAGATGAGGTAAGGAAACAATCTACCTTTACAATTTAACCAGCAGTTAAATTTTTATTCTCTGAACAATAACTTTCATGAACAGTGAATTCTTACAGTATTTATCTACTRTCTTTGCAGACTGTGACAATGGATAATGCAGAGGAGTATGTAGATCTCATGTTTGACTTCTGCATGCATACTGGAATACAGAAACAAATGGAAGCCTTCAGAGGTAATTTTAAGTATAACAACAAATGCAGTTAGGTAGAATAATGGATGTTTAGGGTGTGCTGATTTAAAGTGGTGACATAGAATGGCTTTCAAAAATAAACTTTTTAATTAAGAATGCAATAGGTAAGATACTAATTTCAGAATATCTTTGCATTAATTATGCTGGTTTTTAATTGTGAAGAGGTTCCATTTACCTTGATTAAGAAACTATGGATTGATTCTGGTTTGACTAAAATATGAATTAGAATGCTGAGACTTTTATAAACGTTATCTGGATTCATGTTTATAACTGTATCTTGTGTAAATTAAAGATGGCTTCAACAGAGTCTTTCCAATGGAGAAGCTGAGTTCCTTCAGCCATGAAGAGGTTCAGATGATTCTTTGTGGAAATCAATCGCCTTCTTGGGCAGCTGAGGATATCATCAATTACACCGAACCCAAACTGGGATATACAAGAGATAGGTACTTTTATTCTGAGTGATTTTAAAAAGTAGCTAAAAGATAACKTTAAGTGACAGAATGTCCAGAATGTTCAGTAGATGAAGATGCCAAATTGGATGAAATTGGTGGTTACTGAAGAGAAGGTATAAAACTGCATGAAATAACCATGTATGTTACAGCAGATAGCTTAGAAGGTRCTTGGTAGTTCTGTGATGAGAGGAGATAAATTACTCAAATACCAGTAACTAGTGAAAAYATAATGACAACTAATACAGACTACTAAAAATAGCATTTTAGAGTTTTTATTCTCATGTTTGATAGTAGATAATAAGGTTTTCCCAATTGCATACAGTTGTTACTTTGCCCATATTTCTTATTTCTTTGTCTTAAAGTTAGTTAAAAAAGCAATTGTACTATCCTAAGCTATTTGTTTTTGCTGCTTGTCATGGTTGGTAGCAGTAAGATACAAATTACTTCTGGAATTRTGTTAGAATAAGCCTGCTGAAATGTTTGAGCTCTACTTCTCAACCCAGTCATATGCATTCAAATGCAAGATACCCAAGTAACATCCCAAGCTAAGTACRTACCTACATTTTTCTGTGTAATACTCTGCAAGGAGATTAAAGAATAATTTTTTCAAGATATTTTATTCTTAATATTTAACAGGCCCCAGAAYCTTAAAATGTCTGCTTAAACATGACTAAAGATCATAATTCTACTGTGTCAAATTAAGAGAAATTTTAAAAAGGCCCCTACTCTCTTTAAGCGTTATCGGAACTAATTATTTTAATATATTTTAAGCCCTGGATTCCTTCGATTTGTGAGAGTCTTATGTGGTATGTCTTCGGATGAGAGGAAAGCTTTTCTCCAGTTCACCACTGGCTGTTCAACACTCCCACCAGGAGGACTGGCAAACCTCCATCCCCGGCTCACTGTTGTGCGCAAGGTACGGCTTGTCCCGCTTGCCCTTTAAACCACCTGCTTTGGCTTTGCAATGGAAGAGTTTCTATGTTAACAATGATGGTTTTTATTTTAGTTATTTTTATTTATGGCACTATGCTAAGCTTTCAGTACTAACCTCTTGTTTCAGGTCTGTTCTCTGATACCATATATATATWTTTCATATATTTATATTGAAATATTAAAGTTTTAATCTACATATAAAGCAAATATATTCATAAATTGGCATATAGCTTTGCTGATGCTACTGCTTCTTGACAACTGATGTTATGTATGCAGTAAATGCCATAAATTATACAACTTCTAACTTCCATACCAAGTGCTGTGAACAACTGCAATAAAGATTCTTTTTCTTCCCTCAGGTTGATGCTACAGATGCAAGTTATCCATCTGTGAATACATGTGTGCATTACCTAAAGTTGCCTGAGTATTCTTCCGAGGAGATTATGAGGGAGCGTCTGCTAGCTGCTACCATGGAGAAAGGCTTCCATCTCAACTGAGCCGCTGACTGCAGCCTGGGACATGAAAGTGTTTTTTGATACTAGCGAAGCCTCTTGTGTTTGTGTGCAAAAAATATGATCTCCACGCTGTGCTCTGATGAGACTTGCCTTTTTTTCACCTGTGAGGCTTTAGGAAAATGTGGAATGTTTGTTAGCTGCTAATGACAAAATAAATCCTTGTAACTACACAGCCAGCAAGAAATTGGCACAGAACACTGTGTGATGCTTCAAGGGCTTGCACAACTGGAAATTAAGGTGTTTCTGTTTGACTGTTCCAAAGAACAGATCATCAGATTTTCAGTGTTCACTGATACAAATTTCTAACAGTGTATTGTGTAAAGTTTGTCTTTTAATACCCTGTACACTACAGTTGCCATCACTGATCCCTGTTTTGCTGGCTTTAAGCTAACTGGTCAGAAACTTGCTTCCTTTAAAATTTAGACTTAAATGGGCATCTCCAGCCTTTTCTTTTTTAATGGTGCCTGCACTATTGGAGTATTTTAGTGGGTTTTTGCGTATAATCATGCACAACCATTTTTTTTTCTTCTTTTTCTTTCAAGTGGGAATATATTTTGATTTCTCAAATGCCCGGCTATAAAGATCAAATCCTTAAGTGTGTTTGTGCAGCTCAACAATAAAGCTATTAAAAAACACTGGTTCCTAGTGCAAGGCACACTTAAAGCAAGTTTTACTTTTGGTTGTATTTTCTTTGTATATTATAAACATTTATTTAACTTGTTGCAGTTTGAAGTTTAAAAAAAAGAAACACCCAATGTGTAAGCTCAAAAGTAATCATTAAAATGTTTGCAACATATAAAAATGTCTCTTCTGAATACTTCATTAGTACTTATTAAATCTCTGTACGTGTTCTGAACAATGTGCCATGCTTTTTTAAAGGTTTAAAAGAACTACATAAAGGAACTACTGATCTCACAAATTCATCTCTGTGTTCAAATCTTTTCAGAATTAGTGCARCTTCTAAAAATGAGCCTGGCAGTGATAACCTGCGTGTGGCAGATTTTGGTGCTCTTCATGTGACCTAGGACTATAGCTCTTTATTACATTGGACTAAAAKCTGGGTCAGATGATAGAGCTGATTCACATTTACTTGAGATGGAGTGACTGTCTTGGTTTTAGCACATGATATTTATTGGTAAAAAGTGGGTTACAGTAAGATAAAGCAAGATGACACTGTGTCTTGAGAGATATTTAAGTACTCCATGCCAGAAAAAAAACAACTATGGTAGTTCAATCTATGTAATAAGTTTTGCTTTGTGCCAGTTCTCTTTGGTAACAACCTTTTCTCGGGCCTGCTGAGAGGGGCTTGCCAAAAGACTGCCTATACATCAGGTTGATGGCAGTTTTCTTTTCATTGCATTATTTGTAGGACTTTACAGCATTGTGTTGTAAAGATTCCCTAATGGAGAATTGGAAGGGAATATCCCCCATCCCGCCCACTCCTGTGCCTGCCGTGCTTCAAACACCTATGTCCATGTTTATGGAACTCTGCTCCAAACCCAACATCATATTGTTTTGATAAACATGTTACTGTGTGAAAGCCCCGTGGATTATTTTCATACACAACACTCTTTGCTCCTTAGATCCTGCTTTCTGGGTGGTATTTATGTGACCAGTACTTGCTTTCACACATAGAGCTCACATAGAATATGCTTGTTCAGTATCAGGTTGTATCTAGGGTTGGGCTGGAGATTAAGAAGAAGGAGCCAGATAACTTAGTTCTAGAAAGTTAAGTGGAAGGAAGSTCAGATTGCTCACGCTGCCCTGATTTACGGAGTAGTGTGCAAGTGTGRATCAGCATGCTGTGTGTGCCTGGGAGTGCAACTTGGTGTAGCTACAGCTGCCTCCTCAAGAAGGGAGATTTAATTTGGTATTTACCTGGTGCTGAGGAACTTGTGTATCTTTTATTACTCAGTTTCTATAAGGGTTTCAAACTTGATGCATGCATAGCATATACAAAAGAAAAAAAATACACTGGTGTGCCAAAACCGAAAAGATGTGTAATATATGAAGTGAACATGATCAAAGAGTATTAAAACTTCCAATTTTAATGATATTTTATTAATATTAAAATATTTAAGTGCTAAATAATTCCAGTTACAACTTGCACAGTATGCAGAAATACAAAATACACATCTSTACTTTCTTCTGTGTCCATTACTTGGATGGCAAAGGGAAGGAAACAAACTTTTTGATGAAGGATGAATGTAGTTTAAAAAAAATCAAGTTGGTGCTTAAGGGAATGACTGAAACTCAGTTTAAATTTATATTTCTATGTGTTTTGTCTCCTAGGTCTGGCATGATACTACTTTCAAAGTTATATCAACTCAATCATGGTACGTTTCCATGTCTTTGTCCTCGAAATGTTTTAAAATTGCCAGCCATTCTAGGAAGATTTCTACTGTGTCAGTAAAGCCACATCTGAATGCATCCCCATGGTTTAACTGTCTGTTTCCCTTTAGGTACATTCAGTGTAAGAGAAATGGAAAACATTTGCCACTTAATTTGAATATTGCATGAGTCAGTCTTGCAATCTGAATATTGCATGAGTCAGCAACATCAGAAAACTGCTATCAGTAGATTCTTGATGCTTTTGCTGTCTTTTGTAAAATGCCTTAGTCTTGCATCTTCCTAGCTTTCTGCCACTTTGTCAAGCACAAACAGAGGGGCAAGAATTCTGTTCCGGTTTGTTTCCACGATGCAACCGTTTAGCACCATTTCATCCAAAATTATGTGCACTCTGTCCAAATTGAACATGATCTAGAAACATTCCAAGTTAAGTGTATTTTGAACAATGTGAAGATAATTCAGGAAAAAATCTTAGGCAGACACATAAGTATTTAATAAAAAATTCACAAAAATAGGTATTTCTTAATTTATTCTAGTACATTTACTATTATTTTAATAAGGCTAGGGAAACAGTTTGACTGACACTTCTTTCTGATCACAGAGTGGTCAAAAGTGGAGAAGTTTAAGTCCCAGCAGTATCCTGTCCTGGAATATAGTAGTAGTACATAGTAGCAAAAGGCAGGTAAACTTAAACATAGATGTAGCTGGTTAATTTTACTGTCTGCCTGAGTACCATGTATTGTTCAGATTTAAAATATTATCAAGGGGTAACAACCTTGAATGTGAAGATGCAAAAATTCTGCATTCTTCCAAGAAGACTAATTGCCAAATTCTTAAAAACTACATTCTCAAAATTTCTGTACACTAAGTTACTAACAGTATTTGATTTGCTTGGAAATAGCTTAAGAGGAATATGCTGATACATAAAGTCGAGTCATTCATTTAGCCGTAAATCTCATAAAGAAGACTAAAATGAAATAAATGGTTCCTATTGTAAATACTTTAGAAAATATATTTACAATCTCTAATATTCACCTAAAGGAAAATGATCTGGAGCAACATGAATTCATATAGTCGTGATATATGAAATTTGTCTTTCCTTAAGGTTATCTATCTGTCTCAAAAAAAGCGATGAGAGACCTTACTGGGCTATGAAGTGGTGGGCATTCATGACACGTGAGTGCACACATGCAGACGGGTGTTCACTGCATTCGCTGAACAACTGCCAAGGGTTATGCAGTGAAAAAAGACTCGGATGTTGCCATTTATCACCAGAACCTGAAATGGAAACGGGCACAGCAAAGCAGCCTGCTGGGTGCATCTGTTATGCCTCACTGAYATACATATACAGAGCATGAATAACCCTTTATCTGCCTTACTCTCCACCTGTTGCTGCTCTTTACATGTGTTCTGTGCTGTGCACASCAGATCTGCTTTGCCTTCATTTTCTACCTTCTAAATCTTGTGTATTGAGGACTACTRCAGTGGAGCTAGCAAGACTTCATACAATAACTTCTAAATACATCTCTCAATACTTTTACCGCACTTTGATACGAGTCTTGAGTGCCCTCTCTGCCTGACCATTGTGCTATTTATGRCACTATGGATTGAACTCAGAAAGACAGCCTGGTTTTGCTCTAGTTCTTGTATTTATGTAGGATTTCCCTGCTAATCAGTGGAGTTGCAAGAATCAGGTTTTTGAAGGAATCAACACTTTCTTCTCCTTAACGTGATAGAATACCAATCTTATTTTGTGAACATGACTCAGGCATTGAAGAAGATTGTTCTGTCTGGTGAGTGCCAGTGGATCTGACTTTGGCAGTCAGCCACGCTGCTCTGCCAAAGAACAGGAGCAGTGTGAGTACTGAACTGCCAATGACAACAGCTCAGGAAGCACATATCTGGGTATATTTGTTCGTCCTTGCCATGAATGCTCTGGGCTGAACTCGGTGCTGCTGTGTGTTTGTGCAGAAGGGGAAACAATTGTRTCACTGCTCCAGCAGAAGCATTCTGCTTGACCTAGAGCACAGCATGTCCAGGTATGTGTAGGAGCAGCATTCAAGTCCCCAAATAACTTTTTTACTAGTTACTRCTATATGAGGAACTATAACTGTCAACAGGGCCTTGGGGCTGCCCATGGTTCATCAGAGAGCTTCTAATTTGCTAACCTAAACTTAACCACCTAATTTAATTCTAAATTATATTTTATATACCAGACTTATTCCTGAATCTCACCACAGGCCTGCATTGTTTCTAAAAATAAGAGTCATGCCTTTTAATACCYGGGAGCAGAGCTGTCCTTACAATTTCAAAAAGTCACTGTTTCTGTGGTGCCAGAGACAAAGGTGRTAGCTTTACTTGGCTTGGCAGTTTAAAGATTGAAAACAAATTTCTTGCTTTGATAAACTTATTRAGTAAATCAACCTTTACAGAAATATTTTAATCTGAGAAGTTAGCATTTTTTATTCCAGTAATGTGAGAATTTTTAGAGAGACAGCTTAGTTCACSTCTGGCACTGCTCTGCACTAGGCTACAGGATCTGTTAAGGAAGTTAGATAACATTCCATTCAAGTTTGAACAAGTGAGAAAGCCAGCTCCTCCAGGCTTTTAATTTTTACACTCTACCACTGATTCACATTGCCCCAGTTCCCATGGCAGAGTCCAGACCTTCCTTTTCCTATAACAGTTCCAAGCATTTGAAACCCAGATGACTTAATCAACCAGCMTCAGTGACGATGCAGCAACCTGCCACTCCCATCTTATTTTTCTGCATCATCCTGTTTAAGCCAGCATTTAAATCACCTCTAGTGCTGCTTTTTCCCCTGCTGTATTTCCAGAAGAGCCAATACCATGTCACAGGAAAACTGCACCCTGCCAATAAGAATCTGAGTGTTCCACTCRAACCCAGTGTGGTTCAATGAGATGTCAATTCCCCTGCAGGCCAYTCCAGGTTATTTCCAAATGGGACTACTCCATTGCGGAGAAGTGGTATGATTTCTGTCAATCYCTAATGTGGTAATCTCACAGTCATCATTCCAGAAACAGTAATTTCATCTGCAGTTTGATTGGGGATACTAATACCATTCTGGAAACATCTATCAACTTGATTTTGGAAGGTCCCGAAGCATTCTTTAACCTCTACCCTCAACCCCACTTCCCTTTACCACACTGTTCTTGGCAAAAAACTGGATTATACAGGGAGCAAGTGTGACTCTTTTCCYCTTCCTGTAAATTTCACCTATGTTCCATGGTTACATCTTGCCCAACACAGTTCAGCCCTTCATGTTTGAATGCCCTGCCCAGGAAGGGATATGTATTATGATGATTAGTATGGCTCATCCTCCCCACCTGTCACTTRTTTGGCAAGTGACCCCAAATTTCAAGGTTTAAAGCCCTGAGGTTATAGATCCACACCCAACTGAAAGCAGCAAGGCAAACCAGTTTGAGCAGCTGGCAACAGGAAAAAGCTGTATGTAGTGCTTGCACTGCCCTGTGCTCCACCCAGAGCTGTCGTTAAGGTCCTGCTTCCAGTGAGAATCCTGGCTGCCCACAAAAAAGGGATTAAGGGACTTTCAATAGATCCATGTGGAGGCCAACAGAAATTTTTAAACAAGCAGAAGAAAATGTGTTAATCTCTGCATGCCAGCCTGGGCAAAATTGAGCCCTCCCTGGCTTTGGCTTCCCGATTTCTGGMAATGCTGCAGCAGCTGTGTACTAAGCAGCAGAAGTAAATGGTACCTACACAATTTGTACCTACAAATGTTATGCTGGCTTTTGGTAACTTCAAGAGCTACCCTTCTTAAAGACATTAATGGTACGTTCTGCTGCCCAAGAGTTTTTATGGCACATGCACACTGAGAGGAGGTAAATGTGACACAAGTATTGTGTCTCCCAAAACATACAGACAATTGAGCAGGGGAGAGAGGAAGGAAAGAGGAGGAAAAAGCACATTTAGGACTTGCATGTAATAAATAATTTCTTCATATAGAGGCATTTTATGAGATCTCGGGATTTTCCAGGTAAGTAATTTAAGGGTGTGTCCAGGCTTAAGAGATGATAAAGTGCACCTTGTGATCATGGAACACACCTAGGAGCACAAAGGCTTTGTAGATTACAGCACAGGTACATATGGGGCAGATGGTTTGCTACTGAATATACAGCACTACATGCCCTTGATTTTCATCCTGTAAATTCATTTTTAACTAGACATTAGTTGGAGTTGCTTCTTTAGTCTAGACTCACACATTATTACTTACCTTTGCTGATGTTGACATTCAACAATTTTCAGGCTATTTAATGGCAGGCACGTTTAAGGCACTGAAACCCATGAAATTTCTGACCGTTTCTTCTTCAAATGACTAGGCTGACATTAAATAGGAGACAAAGGTGCCTTCAAGTTCTGTAAAATTCTAGAACAACTAAGCTAATTTTAGGCTAGTCCTTCTAGGTTGCTATTTCATCCACTTATGCTACAGTGCAAACTGAAATACATCATAATAAATTCTCAGAATAAATTCATCATTCAATTTTCTCACTCCTTAAATGCACTGTATTCTCAGTGTTATCCCATGGGGAACTGAAGAATACAGCTGATTCACATAAGCATTCCCCATATCAAAGCTTCTTATCTAGCCTAGGAGGGGCAGCAGCAGCTACTTGTAATGGAATGTAATGGCTTTTTTGGATCAAAGCAACATCTTCAGATCCTTAATCCTAGAGCACTCTGTCACCCCATCCCTTCCCACAAGGGGAGCATAAGTATCTGTTTCTTCTGGAAGTGAATAATGTGTCTTCAAGTAAGCTTTGCTTCAGTTCAAGCAATAGAAAAGTTACCATTAGTAATTTTAGAAACTGTCATACTCACTGTGTTTTGTTMCCCATAAAGTTGCTGTCCTAACACTTGTGTTTTTGTAGTCCCTTTTGTCTTAATCATAGCAAGAAAGTAGCTCCTACACCACTCCAGCTGGAGTTTAGCACTGCAGAAAACCCTGCCACCTTATATTATAGACAAAGTGAGGCTTATCCAGTGCTATTAACACGTTAGGACACAACACCCATAGGACAATTTCAGTACTTATCCATTCAACTGGCTCAACAACACTAGTTACTGATATTTTAAAAACAATCCAGAAACTTTAGGACTGTTATGTCATTCGGCATTGGTACTCTTAAGTGTGCAACTGACTCTCAAAATGAAAGTGGACATCATATAATGGCTAAGTGATTCACAATTCACACATGAAAGCTTCTGTATAAGCTGGCTATTCTCACATATTTAGTTGGCCAGTAGCTAATCYGTGTTCATTTCTGCAGTATACATGAGAGAACTGTGCAACTGTTCCTGCATTGCTGAGCATCATACGTGCCTACATCGTACATATCAACATGATGTATAAATCCTGTTGGGAAGGATTCAGATCAGACCCAGTCCCTGCCTTGTGCCCAAGGCATCTGACATCTGACTCCAGACAGACCATGACATGAGCTACAATGTGGATGCCCTGAATGAATTCAGGTGTACACCTAAATGAAAGCTGGAGTTCTGCCTCAGCTGGAGCTGCAGAGGAATGCAACCTGGAGCTTGCCAGGAATGCTGCGGTAACACACTATGTCTGGCGGCTGCGAGATCCAGTGCACATGCTGAAGGCTTGGTGTGAGCTCCAGGGACATCTGAATTGTGTCATAGTCTCAGCCTTTGGATTTGACTGGGCTTTTCTCTCTGCATGGCTGAMTAGCCTTAGTAATTATGGTCTATTTTAAATAGGTTTTGATTTCATGTCATTTCCTGCTATTTTTTTCATGTTAGTAAACACTACTGGCTAYATAGAATAGCCACTATCACATTTAAAATAAACTTCCTATGGATCTGTACACAAAAATAATAGCACAGAGTCAGGAARWTGTAAGTCTCCTGCAAGATACTCTATAAACCAAGATACTTGGTGCTCACTGTTGCAGACCATCAGATGGTACCTTCTCTGTCAGATATTTTGCATCCAAGCTAACTGTACTGAGCACAAGAATTACTGTGAGACATTTGGCAAAGGCAATGGTTTTATCGCAGGGGAGSATATTTYCTTACGCATTATGAAAAGCAGATTGAYGGTTTATTTCTTGCACTACAGTAATAGCTAAGGCACTTGTCCAGCTTGTTCTTCTGAGTCAGCTATTTGAGCTGTTGTCAAAAATACAGTCCTGAACAACCCACTTCTTCATAGTTACCCCTCTAGTTTACATTTAATAGAAAGGGTATCTCAYTTCATTTCGACTATTTTAGGTAGCCTTTCCACTTAAGAAAAGTTCTTCCTAAATGGGAGAATTATTTAGTACATATATAGAAATAAAATGCTTTATTGTAAAATTGTTCCTGAAACATCTATCATAGAAAAGTGCACTTCTGAATGCTAAAGTTATGTACTTCATTCACATTTCATATTTGTTAAGAACAGAAATATCAGACATGAGCTTTTCCAGTAGTTTTTCCACTATGACCAAGTAACTTTGTAATGCACACKCCTATTTTCCAAATGTTTATATTCACACCATCAGGCAGATGAAACCCACATAGAAGAATTTCCACAGGAATYATTCAGACACGGTACTGCACCCATTGCCAACGTTAGTGTTGGCATATAATGCAACAGYTTCTCCAAACAGTGCAGACTAAGGACAGGATGCCATCCAGAAGAGCTGGACAAGCTTGAGAAGCAGGCCCATGGGATACTCAAAAGTTTTAACAAAACCTAGGGCTGGCACTACACCTGCGTTGGGGCAATCTCCAGTATCAGCACAGGCTGGAATGAACTTGCGGGTGCTGGTAATTAGTTAAGCCTGAAAGTTCCCCATGAATTTTACTTTTCATGTACTTAGTTCTCTCAAAGCAGCTCTCTGTGTGTTGCTTTGAATGGAACAAGGCTTATCTTAACAATGGAGGATTTAAATAGGTGACCCATGTGAACATCAGCTATGCTTTCAGAAAGGTGCCAGAATGGTGCTACTTACTCCAAGTRCAAAACTGGTGAAACTTTAGCTTGACTTGACTGAAAGTCAGTGCTATGAAGACAGTATGAACTGGAACATACACCTAAAAGCAATAGACAAATGGATTTCTGATACTGAAAAGGATACATCTAATTCACTCTGCAAGGAAAAGAGATAGCCATTAGTTACAGTTTGATCTGTTATCTCAGATGATTTCATCTCATAATTGTTAAACACTACACATCCCTTCAAAGGATAAAGAAAATCTTCAAAATAACAAGAGRAAATTCTAGAATGGTTCAGATTTCTGTTCTGGACTGGACAATTATATGCTCTTTCCTGTAACACTGCTTTGCTTTACATGTTACCTGACTGTGTAATCAAAGCTAATGCTTTGCTCAGAAAAAAACCCACAAGTTTTTTCACCCACAAGTAACAATTTGGATATGGGCAGTRCCATTTGAGTGAGTGGGTAGAAAATCAGCCCTATATTCTCTCTTCYTCCTTGTGCAAAACCAGGATCTTAATGCCAAGTTTACACAGTTAAAATTGTCACTGCAAATAGTTTCAACAGCAAAATCTAAAGACTGTATACAACCATTGCTGTGGTAATGGCTGCATGTATTAGGAAAGGCGAGTCAACTCCAAGCTTTGGACCCTTAGCACTTCGAAGTATTCTCCAGCCCCAGCAACACAATTCTTCATATGGTCATCATTTCCCTTCTATTTTTGGCTTTATGCCAAGCAGTATTATTCATTTAACCGAAATGTCTGAATTAGAAGTCCTCGTGGATCTCCCTGCAGTCAGTAAAAGAGATGGGGATCTTCACCAGTTGACTCGGCACACTTGAGGCATGACTCACTTTCTCGAGATACTCATCGGTCTCCACTGTCAGTAATGGGAGCTTAGGATGACCAGATTTCTAACTTAGGTGCCTCAGTTAAATAACTAAACTTAGAAACAATTAAGCACTTAAGATCTTACACAGCTGGGTGGAGACTCCCCAGTCTCCACTRAAAGAGGAAATCTTTATCTGCTACCTAGAGCATTTAGTTTGATAACATGTTTTTCATTCATGGTTTTAAACTAGTTTTAAGGCAGAGTAAAGCTGGTAAGTTTTTATTGGCAAAATTGCTACTACTTGTAGTCTAAAGATGATCTAAACTGGACTAGTTCTAGTCTATAGGCCTCTGCTGAATGACTCTGCTATTCTTCAATTAGAAGTTTTTAATGCATCACAAAAAATTGCGTTTTAAGTGCCTGATCAGTTTAAGTTTTCTCAGCATTAAAAAGTAGATGGAGACATTGGAATTCTGAACAGTATCCAGAATTTTTCCTGGGTAGCCATATAAAAGTGGAGGGGACTCAGAATTACATCTCACAAGCAACTTTGAAAGCTTTCCCCCTAATTACATTAATGTTTGTTCTCATATCATTCAAGCTCTGTGAACTCCATTAGATAAAAATAGAGTATGTGAGAATGTTTAAAGCTCTCAAGTCTAAAAATAATAGATGKCAAAATGTCCTTCTAGAGTGGGACAGATGTTCTCTTATTTCCCAGAGTTCTGTCTCCATTGACATGATCATATTGTGGGATTCTGCTGAAATTCTGCAGATCCTAAACATTAATCTGTAAAAGTACAGATTTATACTTTCTTGCTTGGGGTTACTACCAGAAACTCCAGCTAGAATTACAGCCCTTGTCTTCAGTRTTCTGCCATTTATCACGTTACATGATATTAAAACCAGAACCACCAAATGACATGAGATTTATTTTATCACCTCCCTTTTAGGTTCCTCTAGTCTCAAACCTGAAATGCTACAGAAAATAAAAAAAAAAAAACCTCTGGTATGATGAACTCAGCAAATTTCTAACAGCTGCCAGTGGCTGGGTTATATGTGTGGTCAAAGAATTTTACATATATATATATATATAAAATGTATAAGAGCTACGTCTATTTTTGCGCTGCTTTAATTGAAGAGAAAAAGCTTGAGAGGTGGTTGGCAACTATTAGCTCAATCGGAGAAATAAGATGTGACTAAATTTTATTGTTCATTCACTGCTTAGGTTAGGACTGCAATCAGCAATTTTCAGAGACAAATTCTGAACTCAGTGTAGTCAGAAAGTGATATACTTAATACCAGCAGTTTCAATGGGCTGGGGCAATGTCATTTGAGATAACAGCCTAAAAGGTTTGTCAATATCTAAACACTGAAGGGTGCAGATGACTTTTTCAAGCATGTCCTTGAATTCACAGAGGGAGCTCTGCCATGCCTGCTATGGTTCTAAAACTGGGAAAGCAGTTACAGCCCCTGCATGCTGATATCTTGCATGTACAGTTACCAATATAATACCCTCGAGTACATGGACTACAGAGGAAACTATCCAGTCCTCTTTTCTGAGAGGAATATCCAACACATTTTAGCAAAGGTTAACTGAAACTGTGCCAATGTATGATTCAGTCTATTTTTTTTGTAACAAGATTATTACAAACCCTATATTAAATCGCGAATGTTCTAACCACCATTATAATGCTGCATTTTCAACCTTTCTAAAAACAAGTAAGAAAAAAAATCTCCCACAAAAATGAATAGTGTCATTTTAAGTRGAGCCATGTCTGATGTTGAATCCTTAACAAAATTACTATCTCTATAATAGCTGTTTTATCAGATATCCACTGTTGCCTGACAACAATATGGGGGGACTACAAGTACAGACTGGTTTTTGAGGTTTCTTGTGCTCCATTCCTCTGATCTTGTTCAGTGAGAGTGATGTCAGGTCCCTGCTTCATGCTCACACCATCTTAATCATAAATGAAGTTCATTTGGGGAATGTAATGCTAAAAACTGCATTTTAAGAACTGCAAAGTAAAACTTCTTTATTTCTTTAAAACATACAAAATGCCCATGGCTAATTTAAGAGTACATGACACAAAGAAACCCTACAGCATATAAGAATATGCTTTTCTAACAGAAATATTTCTGGTACTCCTTATCTGATGATTTATAACCCATGCATACTTTTACTTTTCTTAAAAATCAACTCATACTGCTTTCCCCCACCGTAATCATATTTATGCTGAAGTTTTCAAAATTCTAAAGTATTCCGTATTTTCCTCCTTTGATTTATTCTCTGAAATGACACTTTCACCAAAGTTTTGAAAGAGAAAAAATGTTTCATAATAGATTCAGTGTCTCACTTACCACTCTGCTGAAGTATTTGTCCAAAACTTCCACAAAATTGTGAATTAGTTCATATACTGCCATCTCATTCTGAAATGAAAACCAAGTAGATAKTAAATCCATAGCTAGAAAATGTAACAGTATTCCTTGTGTTAATTCAGTTTGTSGTTACCTCATGGTAACAGTTCAGTTTACTGCTAAAAACTGACGTCAAACATAGCACACTTGCTTTTATAGCTCTCTTACTTCACATGAATAAAGATCTGAGGGGGGGTGGGGGGTGGGTGTTTGTTTGGCTTGAGTTTTAATTTTTTTTTTTTACAATTACTCCTTAAAATTCTGCAATTGTCATTGGAAAATTTCAATAGAAATCCAAGTCTGGAAGACTTGAGCTCCGGCCTGTGATAATCACTATAAACTTTTATTGTAAGAGGGTATATAATTCCTTACCTCTGTCTGGTCAATGCCAACAACTATGAAAAGGGCTGCATATTGTCGGTACACCAGCTTGAAGTCCTTATACTCAATGAAAGAGCACTAGGCAGAATCAAAACGAGTCAAATATAGCAGCTGCTATTTAAGCATAAAACATTATAAAGCACATTGCTCTAAGGGCCTGAGCTCTCAGGTTTGTAAGACCCACAGAGAATAATGGATTCCCCAAGATCCATCAATTTTACTTGAAAGAAATTTAGTACGGTAACTATTACACAACCCTTCCCATCCGCTGACAAAAAACTTGCCACCAATTTTTAAATGGAAATGCAGAACTGAAGTGACTTCTTTGGGGTTATAAAGCCAGCTAATACTTGCCCATAGTTTTAATTTGCAAGCCCTTTCAAACAGAGACCTGAATGTATTTTTCCTGTTTTTTAAAAAAAATCAATATTTTAACGTAAAAAATAAGAATATTAGACGTCCAGAGCCAGCGGGGAATGAACATGTCTTTCCCAAGTGGAGGGAGCCAGGAGATGGCGCCGTTCCACGCCGCTAGAACAGATGCAGCCGCCTTTTCTCTCCGTGTCATTTTGCTCGGTCACGGAAATCGCAGCAGCAGCGCCGGCAGCTCCTGYGCCGGAGCTTGTGTCGGAAATGTTCTCGCAGGAGCAGTGCGAAAAAGTTCATTACTTTAGCCACTGTAAAGCTGCGAACTAAGGTACTTTATGAGAACTACTATTTTTATTGAGGTTGCTTAGAATGAARCATGTGAGGAGCGCTAGAACGCACATCATTAATGAAAAATAAAGAAGCTGACTTAAGAACACAATCCAAAAAAGTTCATTTACCATCTAAGACATATTTTTCTTCTAATTCAAGTCAATGTGCAAAAGTTTRGTGCTTTTCTTAAAGAACCAATGGTTCAATTAAGTCAGCCATGAAAATCTCAACTTTCATCCAAGAAATTTTCCAGCTTCTGGGTTTTCTGACTTTCTTGCTGAACATKTAAACACTTTTTTTGAATAAAAATGTCTAACATAGAGGCCTAAAAATTTGTGTTTCCAAGCCCCCCTATGCTTTACATAACGTTTTCATCATTTGGAATCCTCTTATTTTTTTGTTTAAACTCAGACCTGTCAGTTCTCTGCTTTCTACCTTCTGGCAAAACAACAGTAACAGCTCTCCATCCATCTCTACCAGACAATGATCTGGTACAGAAATGAGGTTTTCCTGGACTTCTGAGCTTCTTCAAACAAACAAGAGGAATCCTCATGACACTGATACACACAATTCCAAAATCTCYGTAAGCCTCAGAAGAACATTTACAGAGTAACAGTTCAACTAACTGAACCCATAACCTAGAAACTCAATCTTTTCCTTCATGGGTACAAATGAAATAATGACCTGCAATGAGAGGAAACTGATAGGTTTCAGAATTAACAATAGGAAAGGTGGGAGATGTGGATAAAATAAAACCTACAAAACTTACCTCATCCTTTGAACGGGAGAGACAGTTTTTGATTACTTCAGCTTCTAGCATTGTACGTTTATTAATTTCTACATGCTCATAATACCTGGACAGTCTTGTCTGACCTTGTTTGTTAACCATAAGAAAAAATTTTATCATTTCTTTTTTGTTGATCTCAGTGGTAGATTCAATTTTGGGTGCAGTAATCAGGAAGAGTATTTCTGTGAGGGGAAAAAAAAAGTAGTAATACACAGGAGTAAAGACTTCCAAAAAGCTAGTTAGTACAGATATGCATATATTTATAATATATATATTAATATATTGTTAAATGATTGCCAGAACATGGAACATTGGAAAAAAATCTTGAATCTTTYGCATGCATTGCATAGTAAAACTCCTTTTTTCCCCTACACAACTAATCACAATCTAATAAATAACAGCTTTCACATTTCAGTCAAATTAATTTCTTGATAGGATTTGGGAAATTGGAGGAGTAAACTTCTTCATAACCATAAATCTATTCACCATTTTCTTCCTGCATGCTAACTGGCTTGAGAACATTACCAGAAATTTGCCCAATACCAAACCATGATAATACAGTTCCTAAGAGTGAAATTTGCCTATAAGCATTTTTTCCCCCCAACTTGTATTTAACAATTACCTTCATACCCTTGTCATATCAAATTGAAGGGAGAGATGACAAAGGGAAATGCATGGGCCATAGCACATGATCATTTCTTTAATGCAGAATGAGAGACTCCTAAATATCTGGGTATCTGCAGTATCAACACACATCTTGAGCTGGACCAGGAGCTACTGAAATCCATCTTCTCCTGTCTAATTTCCCACACTGATGCAAAAGGTTGATTCTGCACTTAATGAAAACTAAATGTGGCTTAGTTCAATAGCTAAAGAGAAATCTGTTCAGGTTAATTACGCCAAAGAGCTTTATCTCAATTTAAGTAAATATTAATTCATCCAACACCACTGAAAAATAAGCTGTAGGATATAAATATACCACATACAATGTACAGTGAAAAAGAGTATTAAAACCAGCACAGCATATATCAGAATCTGCTTGCTTAAAAAGTGACATCTCTGATGTTTTGAAATGCATGAAAATAGGGTRAGCTGCAGATGTAATTTTTTTAAACAGAAGTTCTGGGTTATTTTTTTAATGCCTGAGATCAATCACTGTAACATTTTCTATCTGACTCTCTGATTTATTGGCCCAAATATTCTTGAGGTTTGTGCAYTGGAAATACAGCAACTACTACAAAAGTTGTTCTTTTATTCCAGTTCTGAACAGTTGGCCCTTACCTATTCAACTTAGGTGGTTGAAATACTACCACCTAAGGTTTCACAGCTTCTGTGATAAAARTCTGAACAGGAAAAATGTATCAGGAATCCACAAAACAATACAGTGTAGCTCTGTGTAAAAACAGTGTCTCAATGCAGAAAGGCAAAGGGGGGAAAARTACAAGGCAAGCWGYGTAAGTGCTGCATCATACTATCAGCAACRTGAATAAACTGGCTATATACCATCCATGGGCGATAACATACAAATCTTYCATGACAGTGATGAAAAAAAAAATCCCAATATATTGTGCTAACATTAATTATTGCTTACTTCTGATTCACAGTGGTCACTGCTTTCAAAAAGAAAAGGCACCCATTTTATGACCCCTTGGAGCCCAAGAAAGYGACCCTCTTTTTCTCAGTGCCCTTTGGTTTACTCCATCTACAAAGTTTAGATTTGTGTATGTAATTTCAAATGTCTTCTTACTAATTTGACTTGATACTGATAATTAATTTTTAGCTATGTGACACATAACTAGTTCAGGATCAATCCTCAGGATCAATCCTCAGGACAACAGAAACTGTTTGGAATCATGACAGTCTCAGAGCTTTCTCACCTCTGCCAGGCACGTGAAGTCTCTTCAGGAATGCACTTCTTGAGTCACTCAGACAGAAGAGTCATGGATGATGGTCAGTGCTGCTGCTGTGAGGCACGTGGCTTGTGCASTGCACCCAGGACTTCTGAATCAGCATGAGTTCATCTCTGAGAAACAATTAACCAGGTAATTAAAACACAAAAAGGCCCAGATAGATTTGTACAATGGGATCTTCAGCACTGGATGGCAAGTAGGCTTACAACRATGACTAAATGGGAGACTACCATTCATACAATCTTTGCTGTGTTTAGGATGTGACTCTTCCCTGCCCCCATTCTATTTGGAATTGCTGCTTCAAGTTAGAGTTGCAGAAAGATGTCTTAATACTTTTAAGCACAAAATTGAAACAGTGAGATGATAGCAGTCATTTTTTGATACAAACCTTCCAAGAAGGGCMAGAATGAACGATTCCTTCCAGCTCAGAATGAGGCCCCCTAACAAGGGCAAATCTCACAACACAATGAACCTGAAGCTTTAAAGCTACTTAAGAAAGGGCTGTGGCATGAAAAASAAACAATCTAAGAAATGCTGCCCATTGTTTTAAGTAAGCTCGGACACAGGAGACCCACTGCAATATATGTCTGTCCACACCAGATAGTAACAGCAGTGCRAACAGCTTTTTTCAACTGAGTTTTACACTTCATCCTTGTGTTTGGCACTGCTGAAACAAGAATTAATGGATCTCTGTTTTCATCTGAGCTATTTYAATAATTTAATCATAAATGGTATCAAGGGCTTGAGAACAGGACAGGGAGGACAGTACAACTACCTTAGGAGCACTGACAGAGCTGTTGTACTTTGGGTTACTGTTTAACAATACATAACAGCAAAACATATGACAAATTGATAAAAATGATCCTATGGTAGGATTGGCCCCTAATCCTAATTATTTCTTTAATAACCTAATCTTTGTACATGGTTAATCCCTTTCTGATATTATGACTATTTTATCTGAATGTATCCTTATGAATGGCCTGGATTGTTTTACAGATAAAAATTTTTAGACCAGATTATTTTTCTTTAAATCTGCACAAATGCTCTTATCCAGAATAGATGAAAGAAAAAAAAAAAGAAGAATAATGTTGTAACAGAGGTAGAACCATAGCAGCACTCGTAAGTGTTAGCTTAATTTATGAGACAACTATTATTCAGAGGTTTGGAACACATAATGAACAGGTRATCAATCTGTAGAAAAGAAGTCCACTCTTTCTGTTTGCCATTTCTGTATTTTCCCACCAGCCCCAAAGATAGCTTTCAAAATTTTGACCAGAAATTTTTTCATATAAATGGCAGCACAAGCACACAGTTTTGTACAGAAAAACTGGAATAAACTAACAAATTCAAATAACAATTTTGTAAAAATTTACAAAAAGTATGCAAGCTTAGCTGATTATGAGAATAATGCAAGCCTTAAAAATATCTTAAGGGGGTTCTTCATTTCCTTTAGAACTAATTCTGAAAAAAAATCACTTCTAGTAATAAAAGCATTTGCTGCACAATTTAGGCAAAAAAGGGAAGTGACTGAGTTTTTTTTCTAACAACCAAAATTTATTTCTTCTCTTTTCATCTTGGCTTTCACGTAGAGAAAACATGATAAAATGAGTTTTGCTTATATAGCATGTAAAAGAACCTGTGAAGTATAACGAACAAACAAAAAGCATATCTGTGCATGTTGATGGGTAAAGAAATCCCATTCCTTCAAGTTCTATGTATTTGAGAAGCTACCTTTTATGATCARTAATCAGTACTCACAAAGCCAGCTACATTTCTTCCGATACAACTCTTATGGGCTTTTCTGAGCATTCTCACGCACATGCCTGCGTGCATCCACGCACATACACACGGATTATGATGCTTTTATRCATGCAGAATCAAATGGTTCAAGGGAATTGGTGACAAGATGCAAGCCTTTCATATCTCTGCCATTATTTTGCTCATTTTAGTAATGAAAAGACATTACTATCTGAAGGCTGTTTGTCAAAAATGAATAGGCTGCCTCATTCCAGGTCACTGGACAACTATCTGCATCACAAATGTGCTTAGGAACCGAAGACTGGAAGAGACTATTGAGATCCTGATAGACTGTCAAGTCCAACTCTCTCCATCCCAGTCAACTATGCGTTAGAAGTTCTGTCCAGAACAGCCTATGGCATATGCTTCCTGCATGTCMTGCATATCCAACCTACAGAACTCTTTCACTGAATGAGAACCCCCTATAAACAAAAAGGTACCACTTGGGGAAGATGTAAAAAGTCTGGAAATTGCAAACTTCCTTTCAAAATAAACTACCTTCTGGAGTGACTAAGTAGCACTCTCCTTTACTTCCCTAGCAAAATTCTTCTTCTGTAAGGATAATTTGGCATGCATACAGATGACATACAGTTTATCTACCATKATTTAAATATGAGTTGTTACAGTGTGTTAGATCTCACCCTCATTAAAGTTTCTCTCACAGGTAAGTATCTATGAGAGAAAACTCCTATCATGACTGGCCTGTGTGACTCATACTGTCAGGCTGACATGGTTCAGGAGCTGCTTCCAGGACATCTCAGCTCTGCAGGCTGCATTACCATATGAGACACCTCAAAGTGACTTGTCTCTGAGTGACACCCCTTTTCAGGTAACAGCTGAGACTTCACAGAGAGGCAAAGCCTGCAATACCTGTTCTGCAGATAAAAAGATCTTAGGTCTCCAGAGAGGCCAACCCCACTGATTCTATATGCAGTAATATAAGACATATTTTAAACACAATTTTAATTACTCCTCTGGAATAAAGATAAGCACTCTATTTAGTTTGTCACATATTTCACCATTATTTATACATACTTTGACACATAGAAAAAGAAACACAGCCTAAGTTTGAATTGTACTTGCAGTACAGCTGTAATTCACACTAGACATGTCTCTCAAACTAAAACTACTCCAGTCAGTGTCTAGAGACTTAGAAGTATTTTAGTTGTTACACTCCAAGAAAAGTTTGCAACATTCTAGGGTTCTCAACTAGAATGTAAGTAAGAAATCAAATCTTACAAAGAAGAAATGCATGACTACATATTTACAGAATTGCTTCACCAAGAATTAAAAATCAGTTCGATAGAACAACAGGCAAATAATGTACTGCATTGTCCAACTCTAAAGAATTGATTTTCTGGATGCAGAGATCTAATGGCACTTTATGTGCGCATGACATGTAGATTCATAGAACACTCTGAATTGGAAGGGACCCACAAAGATCGAGTCTGACTCCTGACCCTGCACAGAAAGCCCCAATAGTCACACCCTGTGCCCAAAACTATGATTGAAATGCTTCTTGAACTCTGTCACTTGCTCATCTTAGTGCTGTGATTACTTCCCTGGGGAGCCTGTCCCAGTGCCCAATCATCCTGTGGGTGAAGAGTCTTTTCCTGATCCCCTGACAAAGCTTCAGGCCATTCCCCTGGGTCCCTAAYGTCCTGTCACTGATCACCACAGAGAGCAGTGTCTGCCTCTCCTCTTTCCCTTGCAAGGAAGYTGTAACTGCAGTGAGGTCTCCCCTCTCCAGGCTGAGCAGACCAAATGGCCTCAGCAGCTTCCCTCATGGCTTCCCCTCTAGGCCCTTCACCAAATGTAGAACAAAATGGGTTAAACTGGAATGAAAACATTAAGGCAAATTAAGAAATGGCAAAATGATAGAGGCATGAAGCACAAGAAGGTGTAGTACAGGAACAAGTATCTTTTATATATGTGTTTATTGAACTTCCTATAGATTTATTGCACAAAACCACATAGCAAATGAAGAGCACACACACAATCAGAACCCTTGGTCTTTTGACTTTTGTTCTGACTGTGGACAAGACTTTAATAAAACCACATGAAGTTTATCAGTAAAATTAATTTTTGTATTCTAGTTTATTACTGTGCCCATATCAATTCATTAAAAAGATAAAACAAGTATGTCTGTGTGGCTTCAAAATAAAACTGTTCAATTTCAGGACAGGCATTTTTTAAAAAGCAACATCAAATATCTAGGGAAGTCAAGGGAGGAAGGAAAGAATAAAAAAGTTTTCCTTTGCTGTTGAGTTGTCAAAATGCTGGTTGAATATAGTAAAGGAATTAAACTGTAATAACTCCCATATACTCAGGAATGAGGAATGTCCTGGACAACTGGAGCTAAACAAAAGGTTAAACTGGTTATGAGCTAAGTCTCAATTTTTAACAATGTAGTACTGTCAGTAGACAATGAAAAGAGATCCGTTGAAGTGGAAAGGAGTTGGATTTAGATTGCCTAATCGGTATGGAATCAGGAAAAATGTACAATGACATTTTAGTAGGAAATGATTTAATGGAGAAGAATGGAAGGACTGGATGAACTAACTGAAGTATCAATACACACCTAAAGAGAGATTAGTAAATAAAGGAAACACCAGCACTGAGACAAACAGTATTTTTTTTCCAGTAATTAACAGAATTCCAGGTCTGTAAAGAATGGACCTTTTTTAGGAAACGATCCATATAGTGTACAGCAAGTAAAAATTKTGAAGAGAGGCAAAACCAAAGACCTACCATAGTTAAACTGGGCGACCTATGGATCATTTGAAATAGGATGTGACAGTAATTTTTAAGCACCGCAGTTCAGAGTAATGTTTTGCAACCGAGGTAATTTCACCACATTCAAACTACAGCATCAAACACTGCATTACTATCACTGATAAAACTGAGCCAGACAAAATGGAGCTGTGAATTTTTGCAAAACAGTTCTCACGTGGGAAAGACTTTTGAATAGCGAACATGGTGCAGTCTTCCTCATCAAGGGGGGAATACATTACACAYATCACATCTGACATATCGTTGAGATCACCAGAGATTAGCCGGCTTCCAGAAAATACCATAAATTTAATACGTCTATTCTAAACCGTCTCTTTGTAGGGCAAACAGCGCACCATTAAACCGCGCAGAGTCTCACAAACTGAAGTGTTTGACCCGCGGTGCGCAGGCTGCGCGCCGCTTTAGGCGCAGGCCCCGGCCTGGCCGCATTCCCAGGGCGTTCAGCACCCCCGAGCCTCGCCGCCCCTTCCGACTGTCACCCGGGGCGGACAGGACCCGCCCGGCCGGGCCCCAGGCCGCCAGCCCCGACACCAAGCGAGCGGCCGGGGCCGCCCTGGGCGGGGGCGATGCCGCGATGCCGCCCCGCCGCGGGAAGCGTTTCCCATTCCCGGGCCCGTCCCGCGGCCCCCGCGCTCACCTCCTCCCGCGCAGGCGCAGGCGCGCCGGGCCGCAGGAGGCGGCGGCGGAGGCCAGGCCGCGGTTTCCCGGCAGGCGCCGCTCGCTCCCCGCCCGGCCGGGTGGGAGGGTGGGAGGGCCGCGGGGCTGTAATGGCGGCTGGCGGCGGCTCCGCGCTNCCCGCCCCAGCCAGCGCCGCTCGCCCCCTCCCCGGCCCCTGCTCCCGGCCCCCGCCGCGGGACGAGGAGGAGGGCTCCCCGCAGACAATGGACGAGCACCCTGGAGCCGGAGGAGGCGGTGGGATGGCGGCCGCCCCGAGACCGCAGCAGCCGCCGCCGCAGGCGGGTGGGAACATGAACCTGCAGTCGGGTGGGGGCTGCGTGGGGGCTGGAGCCGGCGGAGGAGGAGGAGGAGGGCAACAGCCGCAGCCCCAGGGCCCCGCGGTCCCGGCCGGTCAGGAGGCGGCGGGCCCCGCCGAGCTGTCCCGGCCCCAGCACTACACCATCCCGGGAATCCTGCACTACATCCAGCACGAGTGGGCTCGCTTCGAGATGGAGAGGGCGCACTGGGAGGTGGAGCGGGCCGAGCTCCAGGTACGGGGGGCGAGGGCGAGCTGGGACTAGCCTGGGTGGCTCCGGGGGCCGGGCCGCGCGCGGAGTGTGGGGTAGCGCTGCCCGGGCCAGCGGGATCCGCGGGGCCCCCGAGGCCGAGCCGGTCCCCGCGGCCCGAGGCCGGGACCTGGGCGAGGTCCGGCGGGCGGAGCGGCGGTACCGGCGGAGGCCCGAGCCGGGCTCCCTCCCCGGGGCAGCCATTTTGGTTTGTAGCATGGCGCCCGCCCGGCTCCGGAGCGGCCCCGGCCCCGCAGGCCGCTCTGCCGGAGCCGCGGTGCGCAGCCCGGAGCGTGGCCGGGGAAGGGCGGGCAGGCAGGCGCTGCCGCGGCGCGGGGCTCTGACCCTCCTCCCCCTCCTCCCCGCCGAAGGAGCGAGCTGCGTTGCGCCTTGACAGCTGCGGTCGGCTCCCCCAGCACAATGACTCCGGGGCTCCTCGGCCCCGTGCGGGTTGCCGACAGCAAGAGCCTCCGGCCTGCGAGGAAGGACTGATGTCTCCGTCAAGCTCAGGGAGCTCTGCTTTGGGGGGAAAACGGGACTTAGGAGGAGGCAGRATTGTACCTCCCGAGCAAGGGTAGGAGGAGGGAAAGGCGTTCAGCTAAAYCTTAAGTAAAAGACTTAGCCGAGCATGCAGTTTGAGGCTGGCAGAATGTATTCTCTCTTTTCTTTTGGACTCTTCTTTGGAGATTTCGTATCGGAGAYGAGAGAGGGGTCGATAAGTCTGCAGCGTGGTCATTTCAGTATACAAAAAACCACCAGCTTCGTTTCGGGAACGGAAATCGAATAACTTCAGGACAGAGAGCAAACGTTGGAGTTGCAATATACATTTCTGGCCACTAATRTTTGCTTTTAGTAACTGAATAATTTTACTGATTACTTTCGCAAGTAAAAATAAAATTCCATGTAGACTATTACAAGTTTATGAACAGATTACAAAATCCACTGAATGCGAGGTATCCACCTAGGAGCCATTATCTTTTTATAGAATAGAAATGTACACAATAACAATGTTAAAAAATGTTAGCAGACTTCATTGCTTCCAAAAAAGATTTTGGTGATTTTTGTACCAAGTGAATGTTTCTGTCTTGAAGTAGCGTTCCATCACTGCAACAGCAGCCGATGTTTGAAGGCATTTGCTTTTGGATTTCAGAACCAAGAACTCTACCTGAGCCTGGAAAATTCGTTAGAACTTCTTGGCTCTATAATAAGCATGTAATTTGCACTATTTTTGCTACAACTATAATTAAGAAAAAATTTTAAAAAAGAAACACGAAGGGAAACAAATGAAGAGGTTTTACTGTTTCTTTCACTTACTGCTAGCCTTGCCATTTTAAACCTTGTGGAATGGCTGGGTTTGACCTCTGTGATGGACATCGGTGGGTGTTTTTAGTGGAGAGCAGTTGACTGTTTTTCTTGYTTTCTCTAATGTGTTAGTGATACAGCATTATGCTTATAAATAAGTTGCTTATTGCTGTTCATTACCAGACAAAAACAGTTTGAAATATTTGTTCTACATACGGAAGAGCAGTTTGGAGACTTGGAAAGTGTCTGACTGATAATGTGCGTCTCTGAACTCACGTGTCCTCTAGACTCCCTGATGCACTGTGGCCAACTCTGCTGCTTTTTGTTTGTGATTGCTGTTTGTTGTCCCTGGCCATACGGTTTCAGTTGCATATTTATGGAGGAATGGGAGCAGTTCTGACCCAGATTATGTATGTGTTGGTTCACATATGAGTCTATATGTCCTGGGACTGAGACAGCAGAGTTGCTGCACAATTCCTATTCACGAGGGTGTTTTGGGTTGATTTTTTATAATTTCAGAAGCCCAGGATAGAAGGGGGGAGGACATTACCTTTGGATTTTAGGTCTTGGCCTATATAATGGTGAAGGCTGATACAGGAATGTGTTGAGAATGTGTTTTGAAGATAGATGTTTACTAGCCCTGTGGAGTTTTTTGTTCACAACTTAAGTTGTGAAGTCACAGCATATTTTGTGGCTAATAAAACTAAAAATTTGGAACCCAAACAACAGTTTTGTACACTGAAACTAACGAGAGTGTTAGTTTCATTTGTGTAATGCCGGGTACAAGTGTGAGTCTTTKGATGATTGGGACCTCCTGGGTTGAAACGAAAACAGTAATTCCATAGAATGAGAGTAGATAGTATATGTTGAARTAGGTTTTGGATGACTTAGCTACAACTCTACTGGTGCAGGTGATTTCCTTCTTCTAATTTCTTCAGTCTTTTAAGATGACAGTAAACTCTAAACATTGTTTCTCAGTGCTGGCAATTGAGAGTTCTTTATATCTTTTCTATCTGCTTTATAAAAATACGTGGAATACCAAATGACTTAGCCATATGTGTGATTTTAGTTAGGTGTTCTGATCAAAGAATTTATTATTCCTAAGAAGAAGATACTTTCTTATCTGTGGCATGAATAAAGGGGATTCCTGTGTGGTTTATCCACCCACTCCCTTTCTTTACCCATGTAGCTCAAGTGACTTGGAAGAATTAGCCACCTTTAGTAGGAGTGCTCTTTGCATAGAGGGGTGATGGTGAAGGAAGAGAGGATCTGCAGTAACAGCTTATTGTTTCTGGGATCTTGTAATGGCTGGGTTTTTTTGTTCTACCTATGGGATACACTTTTAGAAATAAATTAAAGTATGTGTTACTTCATTGTGTTGGGGTTTATGCCATGGCAGTAATGACTGACAGAGGGTCTTGGGCCTTTTGGATGTGAAGTCTTGTACCGGTAGACTTAAGTCTACATTTGCATCAGACTGAATCTAAAAGGTTAATAATTTTACGCAGTCTTTCCAGCTTCTCAGGTACGTGGCTGTTCTGCTTGTGTGCAGAAGTGAAGCAGCATAGTCACTGGACAAATCTGTGTGTACAAACCAATATCAAGTAGAGAAATGTCGAATATCAGGAGTATGGTACTTGAAACATAGTACACTTCTTTCACTTGTAATACTGTCTGTTGCAGTGACTTCTTAAGCATTCACTGACTGCTGCATTGAAAGAAAGCTGTTGGGCCTTGTATAGTAGCTTGTTCACTTGAAGTAATGGACATGATCTGTTCACTGTTGGTGAACTTAAAGATCTGCCACTCTAATGACCTTGATTTTGGTAGCTGTTATGTTGAGATAAATTATCTACCTTTTCTAAGACATCTGTGCACAATTACAYATGGAATTACAGCTAGTCCCTATTGAATGTTATCTATTTGTTAGAAATAACTGTTTGTTCAAGGTGGTGATTGGCTCCAAAGTATCCTAAAAGAAAAAGAAACTTGAGTATGAAAACACTGTAGAGATGCACTACAGAAACTCTTAAGGAAGAGTAAGTTGTGTCAAAAAGGAGTATCATTGGAAAGCTTGCAACTTTAGGGGGAAAATCAAGAGAGATCCACTTTATTATGGGGCTTGCAGGCTGATAATGCTTGTCTGGGGAATAAAGGTCTCAATTGTACAGTTTTCTGAACAAGAATGTGTTGGGAAAGAATTACGAGTAGATGATACTTCCAAATGCTTTAATGAATAGGAAGAATAATTAAGAAACATAAACACTCAGAACATATTATATGCAATTTTGGTTTAAACATTRTACAACCTCTTAAGTGACTTAAATGTGCATTAAAATTACTATGATTGTTAATATATTTTCTGTCCTATAAAATGACATATTTGGTGAACTGAACTTCCTAGTTTATCTTATTTTACAAATGCTCTTTTTCCCAAATATTCAGAGACATTATGGAAGCATGTTTCCTAACATTCTGTATTCTTTTTTTAGGTGTTTGGAAACCCCAAACCACCAAAACCCAAGATACCAGATTTTACTTGCATGCCTCCCCATTTTCCTTTCTGCTGGGAGTGGCAGAACAGGCTCATTGAAGGAATTTTATACAGGATGTTCTTTAGAAAAGAAATGTATCTTGAGATAACATATATGAAAGTGTTGATATTGTGAACAGAATGAGCCCATRTTGAGAGTGTGTATATAGTCATGCTGTATTTGAGCATTTACAATTGCAAGAATTAYAATTCTTCAGTAAGAATCAATTGCTGAAATATTTGTCTGTATGTCCCTTGTTTTACTTTGTTGCAGGTTTGAAGGGGGCATCAGGATAATATTGGGAGTGTTCTCTTCTCTTAAAGTTGGAAGAACAATTAATTCTTTTCATAACATAGGCTTTGCCTTGCTTTTGGCAAGCAAATAATTTGTCTTGATGATAGATTGCAAGTGGAAGTGGTTATGGGGATTGTAAAATGGTCATTAGTTTGTTGGAAACAATCTCTGTCTCAGCAACAAGGGAGCATGCAGTAAATATAAATATTTTTTTAAAAAACTGACCTTTCAGGAATTAGTGGCATTTCKTGCGGGGGACTTTTATAAATGCTAACATTTTCTTGGGTCAAAAAGTGTTTGGATAAGTTCGTGGAAGAAAGTTTCCTAGGGGTGTCTAAATTCAAAGATACTGTCTGTTTTACAATTTTCTGAGATTTGAAAT